AGATATGATGGTGGGATCGAAAAAAATGATCGAAGAGATAGATGATGAATAAATGGATCTATCCACTAAACAATGCTTTTACCTTTACAGCAAACACTATATATGAAAAGGAGTGAGTTTGTGTCTTTGTTCTGGAACTTTTAACTTCCACTATATGTAATGTTTACCCTTAAAACTGTTTTTTCAGTTCTCTTTGCATTATAAAAGCAATCATCTGCATATATCATTTTCTTTATCTATGTGTTTGCTTTCTTATTATTTTTGTGGAATTGTATGTTTGGTACGTCGTAGTTTATCAACTTTGTGTATGTACTATCTAGCATAAAGAAAAAGATGATGAATAGATTGATCTTGACCACTTTTTGACATGAGTAAGTAGTATATATACTTAGGTTCAGGTTCGCTTACCATCATTTAATAAATGATGTAATAAGTTGTACATGATCGTGTGGCCAAGGCGAGTTGAGCAACTCGTCTAACTTATAAGGTGATGATTTTTATTTTTTTTTCTTTTCCTTTTTCTCTTTATCTAATAAAGAATTCACATGTGCATAATATAAGAGTTTCATTCTGAATTAAAGATGTTAGATTACATATTAAAACTTGAGCTGAAATTAGAGGAGACTGAATCCTTCCAATCATTGTTCTTGGTGTTTGAGATATTACCACATTTAAAAGTTGTTTTTAATTCATCATATATATGATCGTTATGTACACTATGTGTGTTGTCCAAAAAAAAAAAAAATGTACACTATGTGTTGATTGTAAGTTTTATACTTTTATGTTAGTTACAATTCATAAAATTTCAATGCAATGGATTGTTGTATAATGAGTACTATTTACTTATTGTTAATTGTAACTCTATGTTAATCATGTACTCTGTACTTTATTAATTTAAGTATGTCATCTTTTAAACTCGCTTTTCTCATTTTAATTAATTAACTTGTAGTCCCGACAAAATGGATTAGAATGATATATAGGGTCAAATCAGCTATTCTAGGCACAACTTAAACAGTGAGTACGAGTATTGGCTATTTTTATTGCACTTTGTAATGATGCAAAGGACATTGGTAGTATAGTTTTCTTCATGAATTGTCATCATTCAACTATATACCTTATTCAAATATGCTATGATCGAATTCATCTCCACCATTTATCAATCTCCTTTATGCCTTTATATTTAAATAATTAATTTGTATAATGTAATGTACTTGAAAAAAAAAATTCCTTTTGTTCATCATTTGATCTTCACACCACAACTTTTCATCTCACAAGAATGTCTTGAACTGATTTCCACCATGTGAGATCTTCGATTAAGTAGGCCAGTCCACTAGTAGCTAGTAGAAGCAAATAATAATATTGGTTATTATCTAGGGAGTAATCGTGACATAGTAGTTGTAAACACTTAACTTGTTTGACTAACTGAAAAGACAAAAGTCAAAAAACTAAAGCTCGTACAAGTATACATAGAGTATATGTATGTGTTTGGAAAAGTGCAAACAAATTACGTTCATTATATACCAGATTATAAGTGTATACTTCATCAGTCAAAATCAATCAAATGTATGTAGCTTAATTTCTTAATAGTAACTTGTTGACTGATTCACTTGACTTGGCTTGTTTGACCAGTTGATAATATTCATTATTTTTTCACTAAATAAATAAACAAAAGTTGGGCCAAAAATATATATATATGGCAAGATAAAGACAAGTCGATTACTTTCATAGTTTGTACACATTCGATCATCCATCAATAAACGATCAAATTTAGCTTTTTCAACACTAATTAAATTGTTGACTGATTCACTTAACTGGTTTAACCACACATACCAATGGATAATATCCGCTACTTCTTCACTAAGCTAGATAAATAAAAAAAGGCTAAAAGCCAAAAACTGACTTACATGATAGGTAAAATAAAGGGCAAAAGGCAAACAAATTACTTTCATTACCATAATTAATTAAGGATGTTAATCCTTAATTACTCAATAAAAGGAGAGGGAAGAGGGTAGTAGCCTCGAAGGCAACGCCAGCCTCCACGCCTTTATCAAAGAGGTCTCACGTCTACTTTCGAGCAGTTCCCCTTGTTTGGCTTTAATCTTTCACTTAGCTTATTATTAATACAACATTACAACATCAACAAACAATTTCATCATCTCTATTAAATTGTTTCTCTATATATATTCTCATCTCCCAAACATTCTCTCTCTTCTCTTGATCTTCGTGCTCTCTTCTTTTACCATCAATTAATTATATTAGCCTCACATTATTCCCATCAAAATAAATTATTAATTGTCGTACTTACTAAACAATGTTACTAGTGGTAATGTAGTTATAATTTAGTTAAGTTAATTGCCTTCAGATCACCGACCTAGCCCACGAACCTTAACCACGTTATTATACTCTACGTACTACTCGAATATATGAGTGCACTACTAGTCTACACTTTTACTAGTGAAGTAGTGAGCACTCATCAACAGCTTGGAGACGCACCCATATCCTTCTAAAAGGCAAATCTTGATTAATTGTGTATTCTACATGTATGTCACTTTGATCATTTAAAATCTCAAACTTGGTAAATTATTATCATTTATATAATCAATATTGGCACACTTTGTATTTGCGTACTTTGGCAAACCTTCCACCGGGAGCAGTGATAGACTGATAGCCTCACACAGTCACACTTAATACTTTCTCCGTTAACGGTTAGTTGCAACATATACTATAAATAGGTGCTACCTATTAGTTGCAACAATTTTTTTTCCTTTTTAAGTAACTTTTTTATTGATAAAGTTACCATCGTACCCTTATTAAAATTTGATTATATACTAACCTCTTTTGTTATTGTAATCAAAAACCCTATTATCCAAAGATCTAACCTAATGATTCCCACCAAAACCACCCTCATCTAGATCTTTCTTCCCAGTCATTCATCACACCCTCTTTTCATCTTCTCATAAACGCTCACTGTGTTCGTCCTTTCACCTACCTCCATTAATGAGGCTCTTCAAACCCTCATCAATTACAGATTTCACTTCTTTAACTTTGTTGTCTTCTTTGGTTCTGGTGCACCTCAGTCAATTGATCTCTCAACTACCTCCATTAATGAGGTTGTTCTCTGATTTAAATCTGGAAGTCATTCCAGATGGCAACACTCTCTCTCTTCTCTTGTTTAGATCTGTTTTACCACACACTCTCTATTTTCCTCTGTCTTTCTGGTTCACCTCACTCCCTCTCTTCGTTCAAACCCTAATTCATCCAGATCTGGTTTACCCAGTTTCTTCTCTGAAAAAACCATAAAAATGAGTCCCCCAAATGAGAAGAAGCCAGATGACGATGTTATTGCGACCTACAAATGCCAGCGTCGTACTGGGAAAATGAGGTTGTTTTGGAACCCGTAGGGCAACCTACCTGGATATACGCCGTATGTATGGTGTGGGGGTGAAGCTTGCTCCTTACCACTCTGATGAGGAAGGTGAGGGGTCTAAGGGTGCAGATCTGCGCAACAACGGTGAGGGTTCGAAGAAGAAGGGTCCTTCTGTTGATGTGGTGAGCAGTGAGGTTGCTGAAAGTCTTTCGTTAGCCCCTAAGCCGGAAAATGAAGTAGATCTTGCTAGATCTGGGCCTGCTGGAGTGGTCTCTGGCAAGAAAAGGGCTAGATCTGGGTCCCCTGTTGACGAGGCTGTTAATGGTGCTGTGAATGACAACCCTTCTAACTAATCACGCAGCATAACTCTTTTCTGACCCTTTATATTTTTGGATTTATTGCGTTCAATGATGTTGATTCTGTGAATTGGTTGTTGGTTGTGAAAGATAGCCCCTTTTTGCTATTTCGTGTTTATTGGAAGTAATTTGTGCATGATTTTGGTAATTTCTGGTTTATGAGTACTAAATTTTGGGTTGTTGTTGTTAATTGTGGGCGTAATTGTTAGTAATTTGTGCATGATTATGGTAATTTCTGGCTTATGATTACTAAATTTTGGGTTGTTGTTGTTAATTGTGGGCGTTGTTGTTAGTAATTTGTGCATGATTTTGGCAAATTCGGGCTTATGAGTCCTCTATTCTGACACCCCCTGTTGTTATAATAGTTGTGGTTTATTTGTTTTGCTGGTGGAGTGTCTTCTGAGGGTTAGGATTTAGTTGGATATTTGTGAAAATTTTTGTCACAATTTGATTAATTCTGATTGTTAGCAATATGTTGGCTTGTGTTTGGGAATTAGTCTGTTGTCTCAGCTCCTGTTGGGTGCTTCTGTTAGGTATCCTGTGCCTTGTTATTGGTAATCTCTGCATGATGTTGGCAATTTTAGGGCCTCAGTTGTAGCCACTTGCTTCTGTATGTGAGCTAGGTTCCTTCAGGTTGTACCTAATTGGCAGTAATGGCTTTGGGGTTTGTGATGTGATGAATGATGATGAATATGTAGCCTACTTCACAGAACATGTGTGCATGCATATAAGTCCCTTGCTGTTGAGTCCCTTCTGTTTTGTGCATTCAGAGAACATTGTAGCCTAAATGTGTGGTCGTACCTTATCTAGGAGTCCCTTGATCTAGTGTTATTAGGTGGGAAAAATCCAAGTGATAAAGGGACTCAGTTTGAAAAAAAAAAATTGCATGATTGGAATTGCTCCAACAACTTTAAGTTGAAGTTGTTGTTGAGGTAACCATTTATGCATTTTATGTGAAAAAACAACACCCATCTGATGGATTTAAACTATTGTTTCTGCCTTTGTTTCACAGTTTAATACATACTGTAATTGCTTCTTGTACATAAAAATATCACAATTCATATCATATGGTTTTTCAAAAGTTTACACATGTTGAACATAAGCTAGTCAAGACTGCCTTACCAAATTGACCTTCAATGTAAACAAAATACACATAACTAATGCAACACAAAAAGTTGTCAAAAAAAAACAATAAACACTACCTAGTGGCTTCCTTGATCTTCATTAGTTATGTGTGGCATTCTCACTGTTACCTTGCTCATTTGTCTATGCTGTGTTTAGTCTGCATCAACTTCCATTCCTTCATCATTTTCATTGCCTTCACCTATTTGTATGAACATATTGTTGAGGTGATCAACAGCCTGTTGAACCACAGTCCTGTCCACATGTAGTACTTCTGGCAGCAAGCCTAGTCTTTCCAGCCTTTTCTTCCCTTTGTGTGGTGGGGTAAAATGATTCCCCCCAAAATGATTGAGTATTTTTTCCATGCAACATTGCAATGTTATCCAACAATGCTTGTTTAAAACTGGATTAAACAAGTCATAAGCCTCTTTCACATTCTCAATGAGTTCCATTAAGTTCTTAGGAAATGATTGGTATTGTATGGATTGTATGACATTGAACAACCCCAAATCTAGCACATTTAGGTCAGGGGACTGAGCTGGCTGGTAAATGAATTGGATATTGAAACCATCTGACTGACAGGCTGCATTAAATTCCTCATCCCTGGGAATTTGATAAGGTCTTGCATTATCCCACTGAATCCATATGTCCTTGGACAGATGGGATGGCCATTTATCTTTGATGCCAGGAATCACATTTTCCAGCAACATTGCCCTGATTGCCTCTTTGTTCACATTTTGTATTGCCTTTATTTCCACAACACCAGCCTTCCTGTTTTTGCTTTTTTTTTCTTTGTTGTGCTTTCATACACAAATGGAAAAATTCCATATTTTCCATCATGTAATACTACTCCTTGGGGGTTAAAATTGGCTTCCCAATGGCAGCCATGAACATGCCTTTTACCTTAAACCTTTTGGACTGTTCGCACATGTATGGATTAGGTTCATTGGGCAGGAGGTAGAATCTCCTGGTGTCTGGGTTCAAGTAGAACCATTTTTCATCAATATGCACTACTTGCTGCATATCCACAAACCGAGGGTCCCTATTATCTTCAGCTGACAGTAGATGACTTAACACCCATTTCAGTCTTGCTATCTTGTGGTTGGATGTCAGTGCAGTGTGATTTATGCTTGTATGTGTTATGAGTCTCCCTTTTTTCTTTAACTTGTGGATGGTGACATGTGATATTTTGAGAGCTGCTCTATAGCTTCTCTCAGTTGTCCTCTTGTACAATGAGACTGATTGCAGGAAGTCATCTGTGTACTCTGTTGGTTTGGGTTCAGTTTTGCCCAGCTTCTTGCTTCTGACATCTATCACATTCCCCACTGCCATTTGTGACTTAATGTCTTTGAATAATATGTGAATAGTTGACCTATGTACATGGAACTTGAGTGCTTGCTTTGTTATAAACCCTCTTGGTAATTCCCCACCCTCTTGTTGTGATAAAAAAGCATCAACAATTTATCTTTTCTGGGAAACAGTCAGCTCTTTCTTGGCTCTGGGATTATTTGTTGTTTCTTCATGTTGTTGACTGTGTTGACTGTTGTGAGTTCCTTCATTGCTTGAATATTGGTCTTTCATGTTGCCGTCATCGTTGAGCATTTGGTCAATGCTGAAAAAAGCATCATTGAACATGTCTGTCATGCTTGATAATCTAATGACCCTGAGTTCCACAGATTTTGGAACTGGTAATGAAGTTGGTGGCTGTTTTTTTTTTTTGGGTTGTGCTGTGCTAAACCAGAACAAGTCTAAGGATGGAAGATGCTGCTTCTAACGTAGGGCTAATTAGTCGTAGGATGGTAGCCTGATTTTGTAAACAATGGTTGTAATGAGGATTTGACCTTTGGTTTGTAATTTTGTACTTGTACTTGAGATTTATGGCAGGTTGTATGTTAAATACCCTCCCTTGATTGAAAAAGTCAAGTGGGGGGAAAAATTTGGTGTTTCATAACACTTTAGTATTCTGCTGGCTGGAACTATAAATACTCTTCCATGACTGAAAATTTGAAATGGAGGGAAAAATATTGGGGTAAAAAAAAGAGTGAAATATTTGGAGGGAAAAATTTAGATGCGAAAAGAGAGTGGGAAAAGTTTGGTGGGAAAAAAAGGAGGTGAACAAAAAGTGGGAAAATTTTTACCCCAAATATTTTGACCCCACACATTTTTTCAAATTCTCTCTCCTCTTTTAAATAAATCCGGGCCCCCCACTTTCATTTTCAGATTCTCCCTCCTTTTTTATTCCACTAATCACATGACCCTCCATACAATAACAAAGTATTAAACACTCCCTAAAAGTTTTGCTTTGGTTTCCACAACAAGTACATTTGTTGCAATTAACCATTAACGGAGGAAGTAATTTTTTTGGACTAATTACTCCGTATATTTTATACTTATACTCGTTTATGATAGATTATGAAAATAATCATTTTATGAAAATAATCCTATGTACATTTTCTCTGTTTTTTAATAGTTGTAACTTGTAATACACATTTTTTTTCACGGTATTTAAGAAAACTGGGGGCTTACATGGTTTAATATTACTTTAAAATGGGGTGAGAAGTTATAAGTATAATTTAGTGGGCCAATTACTTTAAGTAGGGGAATTACTCGTAGTACAACTTTTCCTTAAAATAACTTTCCAATTATAACGTGTTGTAAATTTTGTGACATTTCCATTTTTGAGAAGTGTTGCAACTATTAAAAAGCGAAGGAAGTAGTTTGTATTTCCTTGTTTAACCTTAGTTTAACCTTAGCTTAAGCTTTTAGTTGTGATGGTCAGTTAACATGGTATCAGAGTTAACGTAACAAGAAGGTCACGGGTTCAATTCTCATCCACCTCTTCTTTCAAGTGAAATATTTCCCTCTGGGTATGAAGAGGCCCATGATGCATCGATCTACATTTCAAGCTCAAAGATCTCTCATTTTAGGAGATGTGATAGAGTATATAAATCGATTATAAGCTTCAGTTATCAGCTTAAACTTTTGGTTGATTTAGTCATTTAACAATTTATATCCCGGATAAATGATTAGAGGTTCAAATTTGACCTCCTCCCAAAAATATACTCCGTAAGTTATTTTTTTAATTGGTAAGGTGAACACTACCTTGAGAGGGGGGAATAAGGGAAATCCTCCCAAGGTGAGTTGGATGAGAATCGAACCCAGGTCTCTCACCTGGAATTCGCTCGAGAGACTTGGCCAACTGAGCCTGTAATATCCCGTATTTTTATACATATTTTAACTTAAATAAGTATTTCTTAAAGTATTTAAATAATTCGAAATGAATTGTTTATGGTGTTTCATTAATTTAAAAATAATTATTTTAATTAAAAGTTTATTTTTAATTATTTAACAATCTTGAAAATATTTTATTTCATGATTTAGAAATTTTGGGGCATATTATTTATAAAAGGAAATTTTAAAGTCAACGAGTTTTTAAAGAAAGTCAAAATACTAGTTTGAATAGAAGAAGTGATCATTAAGGGTAGAAAGGGGAATTTAAGTAGGAGGGTTTAGACAGGGGTATAAATACCCATCACATGGGCAAATTGAACCTTGCCCAAGGTGGAGAATACCCAAAACTAACTCTTTCTCTCTCCTCTTATTTTCTCTCTTTTTCTCATATTTTCCCTTCCCCTTATTTTCTTCAAATCTTCTTTTTGATTTTTAATTAAATCCACCCTTAATCTAATTATTGTTTTTGAGTTTTGTGATGATTTTTATGATATTTGATTTTAAGTATGATGTATATAAATTTTCAGATTTGATTTTGAATTAAAAAGCCCCAAATTATAAACCCTAGGTTTCTAAGTTTATGTATATTGATGGAAATTGTTTATGGGTGATTTAAATTATTGAAATAAGTGTTTTAAAATACAATTACAACAATTTTAGATGATTTAATAAAGCTGGAATTTTTATATATAAGTTATAATTATGTTTCTTGAAAGGATTTTTAATTGCCCATTAATTGGGAATAAAAGTAAGGGTTTTTAATTAAATGTTAGCTTGTTTTAAAGGATTTCTGATTGATTTATGGAGTGTATATGTTGCTGGAAATTTATATTGAATAGGTAATAATGCCTCTTTGTAATTTTGATTTGTAGAAGATTTCCAAGTGAGTGATTTTATTTAGTCGTGGCGATTTTGAGATCATATTCAAGGTACTTTCGCGTACTTGGTAATTATTTGAATATATAGAAGCATGCTAGGCTTTGATAAATTAATTCCAAGTAGTATCATGATAGGTGTTGGTTGGAATTTGTTGAATGGATTGATGTTCGTAAATGATTTGTGAGGTATGAATTATTTATGATGAATTGGTGATTGGAATTAAATATGTTGGCATGTTGGATATGAACCACACTTTTATTATTATCATGATGGAAGGCATGTTTAATTTGGTTTAGAATATGAAAAGGAAATTTTATTATGGTTCTTATAATTTTTATTGATATTATAAGCATGAGGAAGGAGCTATTTAAGTATCTACGTACACGAGGATTAAATTATATTTTGGTGCCTAAGTGCACTTAACGTGTTCTAAACATCGACGGATAGGATTTGTGGTGCTTCATGCGTTTGAGGTGTTATTTAACACCGAGGTAGTTTAAAAAGAATTCAACATTATATTTATGTGGTCACTAATTATTCAAGAATTAAATTGGTATGTTTGATTGCTTGAATGAATTATAATGTTTGATTGTGTTATGGTTTGAGAGTCATCACCAAGTATAATAATATACAAAGCAACGTAAAAAGAAAGAGATTACGCACCAAAACTCTTGGAACGTATATACCTTAAGTATGAACATATGGGGGAGTTATGCGACTTTATATTTGAGCATAATTTCTACTGGGAGTATAGGACGCTGTATATTCCTTTTTATTATGCGCAGGAATTTCGCCACTTACGAGTGGTTCTTTTATACTGTCACGGTTAGCTTCCGTGTTAGTACCCTTTTATTGGGGCAGGTTAGGGGGAAACCCATTCGATGTGTAATCAAATTAAATGGACATTGGTATTTGTCTAGTTAAGTGTTGAATGTCTTGTATGCTTGTTTACAAGTACAACAAGGTAAGTTATGTGATGATAGGATGAAAGCATGATAATGCGTTTTATTACGCTTATGTACTCAGCATTGCTGATTGTGTATTGTATGTTTGTTTGGCCTTTTCTTTACCTTGACCCTACGACGACCCAATTCTAATGGCGAGTAGTGGGGACAAGTAGAGAGAAGTTTTTCAGGTGATGAAACATTTTCATGATGGGCATGAGTGAAGAGCGAATCATGCTTAGTTTCTATAGGAATATGATGTGTTTTGTTTGCTTTGAATATTCTTTATTTTATTATGCTCATGAGACTAACGTAGGTTGACTTTGTTTGACTTTACTTTCGTTTGGTTTGACTTTTAAGTTGAGTTGTTTTGAATGGTTTTAAAGAAAGTCTTCCGCTGGGTGTCTTTGATATTTGCCTTAGCCGTTTTCACGGTGGCGGTAATGTCTTAGATTTTCATATTTCAAAAAGGGCAAAACAGGTATTTTATAGGAAAGAAATTTCTAGAGTGTTACAGAGCCAAGAATCCTTCTTGACTCATACTCCATAAGTATTAATTAATATTATGACGGTGAAATATGAAGTACGAAGTATTATATTTTTCTTTTCTAAAACTACATTCTACTATTTACCAAGCAAAGCTTGGTTTAGTTGGTAAGTTTGAGTCTCACAACCAAAAGGTTGTGGAAACCCCACTAGAGGCACTTTGGGGTGGGGATCCTCTTACCTTTCTCCCCTTCCTCCCCCCCCCCACTTTCAAAGTGCCTAGCCCACTAACTCGGGTCGGGAGGACTTATGAGAGGTTCCGGTCCGATAGAGCTCTTCTTCTTACCAATCCAAAGAAGAAAAAAAAACATTATAGTATTTTGCCATAATAATACGAGTACAAATTAATAGAGATTAGATGAAACCCGTGCGATGCACGGTTTGTTTGTATTTTTAAAATAAATTATTTTACTAAATGTATATTTATGTAATAAACTTTGTGATATTTGCTTGCTTACTACTTGAACTTTTTTTATTATAAAATAAATTATTGATTTTGTTTTTCATATTTAGATAAAATTCATAAGACAAAAAAATAATATTTTATTTCACAAAGTTTCATATGTGGTTGGTCACACCGTGTGGTCGGGATTACTTGATCGGGAGTTACTTGGTCGATCAAGGGTTACTCAATTGATCAGGGGTTATTCGGTTAGTGTTTGGATGTGTCTCATCTAGCCACACGATATGACCAGTCACACAAAAAACGCGCTGATTTTATTTTTATAATTA